ACACACACACACACACACACACACACACACACACACACACACACACACACACACACACACACACACGCGCGTGGGGGCGTCGCAATTCCATGGTATCGCTCCTACTCGATCTATACGTCCCCGTATAGATGTGTGTTGCAACACGCTCTGCTGCTCTGCTATAGAATCACTAGAGTATTGACTTTTTGAACGAACCAGCCGATGATGTCAAGCGACAAAAATGCAACGTCGCAATCGGGAAAACTTCCGGAGAGAAAGAAAAAGAAACACACACGAACATTCGTGGCGGCGAGCGGCGAGAGTTCGTTCTTAACGAGCGTATTCTTACTTACCGAGTTGATTTCATCCTCCTCCTGTATATGCTGCGCTATGTACTGCACGTCCTCCATAGCCGTCTGCACGTCCGAACTCGTCGGTTTCGAGTTCTGCAGCCGCATCTGCTGAATGAGAATGTCGTTGTCGACGGACATGAGGCGCGAGAAGCGCTTGCTCGTCTCAGCGAGACTCATCGACGTCTGATCCTTCTGGAACTCCGGTCGTCGCATGATGAGCAGCGGCGGCAGTATCTCGAGAAAGACGCGCTTCAGCCACGGGTTCATGTCGTGCGTGCGCGGACTGCGGTAGTGCACGTTGAGCACGTATACGGTCACGCAGACGGACATTGTTACCATGAAGAGCGTGAAGAGCAGGTACTTGCCGATGAGCGGCGTGACGAGCGACGTCGGCGGTATCGTCTCCGACAGCAGCAGGAAGAAGACGGTCAAGCTGACGAGAATCGAGATACACAGCGAGATCTTCTCGCCGCTGACGACGGGCAGGTAGAACGTGCAGACGGTAAGGAACGACAGCGACACGCACGGGATGATGAAGTTGACCGTGTAGAAGAGCGTCCGCCGGCGCAGCTCCAGCTGATACTTGATGTCCACGAACAGATCCTCGTCGCAGCATGGGCAGCAGCCGCTGCCGCTGCTGTCGTCCTGCTTGCACTTGCAGCGGCAGCAGCGCTGCCCCGGCACACGCATCAGGTCCCATTCGATGCTGATGACAAACTCCGACAGGTCGATGGCGTACTCCTTGTAGTCGCCGCTGAAGTTCTTGTGCTTCAGATTGACCTGTCGGCGGTCGTACGTCCACGAGCCGAACTTCATCTCGCACATTTGCACGTCGAACGGAAAGTACTTCACCTGAATGTCGCACGAGCTCTTGTAGATCGCCGGCGGCTCCCAGACGATGCGACCGTCGTAGTGCACCTTCGCCTTCGTCATCAACGTCACTTGGTACACGCCATCGGCGCTAGGGGGAGGAGTGATCATCGTTAAATTTCGACGTTACGAATTTTTCATCGTGTATGTTAATTTTGTAAACATTTTGTTGCCATTTTTTCACATTAAAAGCAAGTACTAACGGGACTAAAATTACTTATCTTCAAATTCTTACCTGATAGGATTGTGTCTCAACTAGTTAAAAATAAAAATAAACCTGGGCGATTTGATATATTGATCACGACATTAAATGCTTGCTATGGGCTATGTATGAGTCACGAGTGTTTGTTCACATCGAACGGAATATCAAAATAGGAAGTATAATGCAGAATCACCATAAAAAGTGAACAGAATCACTTACATTTTGTGAAAAAGTGGACTTTTTTCCACTTTTATTATTTACGGTGACGTAATCACTTTAAAGAAACGAGCTAGCTAATTTTGTCATGGTCCTGTTTCAGCACGATCAAAAATGGTTCCCCTCCCACCGATAGTAACGTACACTATATTATGTTCATTGGAATTCGCCTTCGCGTAAGTTGAACACATCAACATCATCGCATCCAATTACATCGTTGATAATAAAGTGTCATAATGTACACGCAACGAGAAAGATTTCGGTAAACATCGGCACGATGCTAGTTGGAAACGAGTTTTTTTTCATATGAATAATATCGATTTGCACTTCGTACACATTTACTCCACGACGGCATTGTATAGATCTAGTGGGTCATGCGCGCCACATGGCGATGCTAGCATTGGACGTTTCAATGAAATACGCAACGTTGCGTTCATTTGCCAAAGTGCAGTTCCCCTAACCTGGTTCATGGCATTTTCAGAGTTCAATTGAAAGCGCCCATACAGAGCTGTAGTTCGCAGTGTGAACATATGCAGCGGGATTTTATAGTCTGTGGCATTCGATGTTGGCTACAATTATGCTGCCCGATATCTGCAGCTTCGTGCAACGCAGTAGTAGCGAACACTCTGCATTATTATTAATTTCGTAAATTAGTTTATAATGGCTTTCAGCAAAGCGACGGGTCAATATATCGCTCTCCGAAAATGCATTCATTCGTTGTGAACTAGCCCATATATCTGACATCGCGCAATTGTGTAGCATGATCCGGCCACCGATGACAGCAAATTATAGACATCGCGCTGTATGTGGCATTAACACGTATTTTTGGTCGCATACTCACTTATTATAAAGCACAAGATCGGGGTTCCATATGAGCTCCGACGGTACATATAGTACCTTCACGCCACCGTAGTCTGAGGGCCGCCAACATAGTCTATAGTCATTCCACTCCTACCAATGAAATAAATGCAAGGTTTGAGCACATGTGATCGATAAATGAACTCGGCTGATTCTTGTTCTGTTCTGCTTCGAACTCTCGTCTGCCCGGTCGGCTCGCCCGCGTAAGCTATTTTGATTATTTGGCTAAGAAAGATGCATTCGAAAAAGGCATGTTTTCTGCCGATTGAAGAAGAAGATCAAACAATGAGAGCATACAGTTACTGGCCCTCGTCGGCACACGATTCTATTGCTCTCCCGACGACATTAGTGCTTTTCGAAAGCTCGACGATTTGTCGTACGTCGTATGCCAGCCGTGGTAGGCGAAGTATAAATCACACGTTAATACCTCTCGCTAAACCTCAAAGAGAAACGACGCCACACTCGTGCGACGGTGAGCAAGATTGCCGACGAGGAAAAAAGATTCAGATTCGCGTGACAAACGCGTGCGATTTTACGATTCTTCTTGCGGGATGCGGATTTTATCCTTAGTCTGTTACTGCAAGCGAAATGCTTGCACATTAAGACTCTCGCGTATCTTTCCGTTTATTCCAGCGCCTGGATCTCTCGATAAAAGACTAGACAAATGAGTCGCAGCGCAGAACGTCTTCGTGACCCACATGTAACCGATATGCGAGCGTCGCGCAGTCGATTTCTCCCGTTTCATCATTGCGTGATAGAAATATTGTACGTCGGTAGTCGCATGTCAACAAGAAGATGTATTATAAATCAATAAAATGAGCATCAAGTATTAATACACACTTGCAGCTAACATCCGATCCCCATTAGACGTTGTCGCGTACGTGGCACCCATTTTCAAACGACGTTGTGTAGGTTTTTTGGGGGAGGATGTCGACATTCTCAGAACCGTACCGCATGCTTCTCGTTAATCGAGCCCGGATTATAAATCGGCACTCAGCATATGACGTGGTGACATATTTCGGATTCGATGTCTGGAGATGCCGTACTTAAAAAAAGCGTAATGCAGCTAGGCCAAACACTCGTTGTTTATTTACCGAAGTTCTCGTATGCTGTGTTACGCGCAAGTTTTTTTTATAGCGATGATAAAAATATGACTAAGCGTGCGTGCGATGAGTGTCGAATTGCATGAGGGAGTGCAATCTTTCTACAGCTCCTTGGGGGAAGAAACATGAATGCGGTCTTTGCGAGCACGTTGACCCAAATACATACATTACTCAAACGCACCATGATTTTGAATTACGCAGCGCGTGTTAATCGTCAGAGATACGTAATTAAAATTTTTTGATACGCTGAATTAGCAGTTTACACGCCCGTTTTTCGTGCGTGGATGTGCATGTGCGCGTGCGCGTACGTGAGGTCGACAGAATTTATTATTGGTCGAAATTCAGCCTGCACAGTTTAGGAGAACGGAGATGCGAGACTGTACCTGTTGCACCCACACGTTTGTGGTCATTACTTGATCGCGTTCGTTCTGCAAAAAAATCGAATGAAATGTATTACAGCAATGCACGCATGCACACACTAAAGAAAGCATGCAGGGTAAATATAAGCATAGATGCCTATCTTGGTCAATTAAAAACAGGCGTTATTTCTGACAGATTAATTTAATGCTTAATATATATCATATTGGTTGTACATGCACACAGTCTTCGGGAAATATTTGTTAAATTTTTGTTAAATTGTAAAATTTTCGCTCACAAATTGACGATAGATAAAGGCATCTTGTATCGTTATGTGAATAATTAACTGCTAACTGCACGTACGTTCGTCGTTTTTCCTAAATGCCTGATGAAATTAATTGCTTAAATGTATTTTTTTTACTAAAAACATATTTAGTGATGAAGTCAATATTTATAACCGCGTTCAACTACCAGTGAAAGACACTCTGCTACTTATTGCTCGTAATCAAAATATTTTGCACGCATGGGGATGGGTGTTAGTCATGTTTAATAGCGCTAATACGTCCCAGTGACGAGTGATCTCAAGGTTACGCATCCTGCCATCAATCACATGCAACCGATTAGATACGCTAGCTAAATATATTCTCACCACATCAATCAGTTGGGTGAGTTTAAGTCCCAACGTAACCTCGACGGTGAGGTTATGCATCCTCACGGGCCTCCCCAGGGGATTGTAGCTCGCCAGAAGGTCATCGTACAACCGTTTTGCATCGTCGTTACCTTCGCAGCCTGCAAGGAAAGTTTTCGGTATTTAAACTAGCAACGCCGCCCCTCTCTCTCTCGCTCTCGCTCTCGCTCTCGCTCTCGCACCAACGTCCAGCACATTATAAGGAGAGTTGAAGTACGAAAACGCTGGCCCACGGCGTCAGCACATACTAAGGGAGGAATACTACGCTAGCACCCCACTATCGACACAATATAGGCAGACAGAGCGACCTGCCAACGCGCGTACAGCACATATAAGGAGGAAGTATCGACGCTGCCACGGCGATCAGCACATAAAGGAGAATAGCGACGCTGCACCACGTCAGCACATATAAGGAGAATAAACGACCGGCCACGACGTCTCAGCACCATCATAAGGAGGAACGTAGCGACGCTAAGCACCACTTCAGCACATATAAGGGACAGAGTCGACGGTGCCGACGGCGTCAGCACATATAAGGGGAAGCTAGCGACGCTGCATCGCGTCAAGCACCATATAAAGCGAGCAAGAGCGGACGCCTAGCAACACGTCAGCGACATATACGGAGGAATAGCGACGCATAGCAAACGCACGCAGCACATATAAGGGAGGAAGTAGCCGACGCTGCACGGCGCTCAGCACAATGAACGAGGAAGTAGCGACACTGCCACGACGATCAGCCCATATAAGGGCAAGAGTAGCGAGCGCTGCCACGGCTTCACAACATATAAGGGAAGGAGAGCGACCAGCACTCTACGTACAACACATTCATAGGGAGGAAGTAGCGACGAGCTGCGGACGACCGCCGCATCACATATAAAGGGAAAAGTACGACGCTTCCACCACCGCCAGCGACATATAAGGAGGAAGTAGCGACGCTTCCTATCCACTCAGCACCTATAAGGAGGAAGTACCCGACGACTGCAACGGTGGGCGCAACCACAATAAGGGAGGAACTACCGACCTGCCACGGCGTCACGCATCATATAAGGGAGAGGTAGCGACGCTAGCACCAACCGTCAGCAACTATAAGAGGGAAGAGTAACGACGCTGCCAACCGCGTCAGCAACATATTAAAGGAAAGTAGGACGCTTCCACCAACGCAGCCCATGATAAGGGAGGAATAGCGACGCCGCTGCTATCTACGTTCAACACACATAAAAAGGAGCGGAAAAGTAGCGACGCTAGCACCACGTCAGCACATGTACAGGCGCCCGGAGAAAGTAGCGAACACGATTCCTATACAGATCCACCAACATATAGCAGGGAGGCGAAGTAGCGAGACGCTTGCGCGCGCGACCAGGCTCAGCACATATAAGCGTAGCGAACTACGAGCCCACGCCCACGGCTCAGCACATATAAGGGAGGAAGTAGGCGACGCTGCCCAACCACGTCAGCACATAATAATGGAGGAAGTAGTCGACGCTGCCACACGTCAGACACATATAAAGACAAGTAGCGACGCTGCACTAGCAGAGCAGCGCACGCGCAGCACATATACAGATTGAGCGAAGTAGCGACGTCGCACGCCTACGCCGATCAGCACATGAAGAGACGGGAGAATTCCAGCGAGCGCGCTAGCACACACGTCACACAATATAAGGGCCCGAGGAAGCATAAGCGACGCGCTGCACATGGCTCAGCACCATATAAGGGAGAAGTAAGCGACGCGCCCACCGCGTCAGCACAGTCATAAGGAGGAAGGTATACCGACGCTAACACCACCGTCACACATATAACGCGAGAAGTAGGACGCCTGCCAACGACGTCAGCAACATAAAGGAGAATAAGCGCAACGCTAGCACATCGCTTTGAACTATTTACTGCCGGCCCCTAGTGCCTGGGCTGACGCGTCGCAGCGCCCCGGCCGCATGACTCTGTTGAGCGCAGCGGCTGCGGCACGGTCGCAGCATGCACGTCAGCACATAATAGAGGGGAAGAAGTAAGCGACGCGGTCTGCCAGCCCGCCGTCGAGCACAAAAGCAGGAGAAGTAGCGACCTAGCCACGGCGTCAGCACCATATCAAGGACGAGGCAAAATCGACGCTCAGCAACACGTCAGCACATCATCTAAAGGGAGAAGTAGCGAACCGCTACGCACCTCGGTACATCAGCATCGTCACACATATAAGGAGAAGTAGCGAGCCGACTGGCCAACGGCG